TCTGGACAGTTTAACAAATCTTTAGTTTATCTGTATAATTTGTAATAAGTGAGACTTATCAAATACGGTGCACAACTGGTGCACGAAGTTACTAATTCTCCTTTTTTTTTTCTTTTTTGGTTTTCAGATTCAAATAAAATAGGTAATAGACCCATAATGGGTGAGAAAAAGCAAGCGAATATTTTGCATTTCTTTAGTAAAACTAAAGATAGAATAACTAATGAAAATAGTAATACTTCGCTTAACTGTGAAGCTGATAAAAAAAATCAGAGCATTTACAGTCCTCCTCAGACGCCATTAAAAAGAACATGTAAACTGGAGTCGAAAAGAAAAAATGCAAAGTATCAAGAAAATACGATTGGAACTACTTGAAATTTGTATTTATTCAAGAACCTTGTAGTGAGCTGGATCCATGGCCTCTTTGTATTATGTGTTCTTAGAGTTTATCTAATGATGCCACGAACCCTTCAAAACTCGAAAGACACCTGTAATCAAAACACCCAGATTTAGCTAAGAAACCACTTGAATATTTTCAAAGAATGCGTGAAAATATACAAAAACAAGGAGGCACTTTAAAAAATATGGTTGTTGAAGATGTCTTTATTAAAGGCTTCTTATCTGATAGCACTTCAAATAGCAAAAAATAAAAAGCTATATACGATTGGAGAAGAATTAATCAAGCATGTTACAAGACAATGAAGAGATTTTGGGAAAACAAGCTGTACAGAATCTGATAGTAATTCCCATGTCTTCCAGCACTCTTAAGAGCGGAATTGAAGAAATGGCTGAAGATATTGAAAATCAAGTTATAAAAATGGTTAAAAAAAAATTATTATTTTATTCGATTCAACTTGATGAATAAACTTCTTTGTTTTGTGTGGGTTGAATGTGAGGGAAACTTACAGGAAGAATTACTTTGTTCGCTCGACTTGCCGGGTAGAACAACTAGCTCTGATATTTTTAAAGCATTTGATCGTTATTTCCTGGAACACACAATTGAATGGAAAATATGTCTTGGGATATGCACAGACAGTGCTACAAGCAGGACTGGACATCGCTCAGGTGTTGTTGCAAAGGTGAAAAATCTTGGTAACCCAGACATTCTGTCTACATACTGCATTATACATCGTGAACATCTTATGGCGAAAAAAATATCCCCTGAACTACACGAAGTATTATCAGATGTTATTAAAATTATAAATGAAATTCGACACAAAGCGCTCAATTCTCGAATATTTGAAACACTTTGGGAAGAAATGGTTTAATACCCACCTTCTTCTTCACGCTGAGGCGAAATGATTTTCGCGAGGCAAAAAAACTGACCCGACTGTTCGTCCTGCGTGAAGAAATTAAATTATTTTTTCAGCAGCAAAATACTCCGAAATTTCAAGACGATGTCTGACGATGAGTGGGTAGCCAAGCTTGCATACCTGGCAGATGTGTTTTCTTTTTCTGTTAAATGAAATAAACATATCCTTGCAAGGACAACTTAAAGATATCTTTACTGTACGAGGTAAAATAGATGCTTTTCAAAAGAAAATATCACTATGGCGATTGGCTGAAGGAAATCTACAAATGTTTATAATTTTTTATGAATATAGGGGAGAGGATGTCAACCAGCAAGGGGTATCCATTGTTCAACAACATTTACAGTCACTGACGGAATTTTTTGATTTTTATTACCCAAAGGAAGAAGATCCGAGGCATGTAAATATGTGCATAATAGATCCATTTGCATCAAACATTGAAGATAGGAATTTAAGCATGAATGAAAAAGAAGGCCTTATCGATCTATCTTGCGACGACAGTCTCAGAGCTAAATTCCAGTCTTCCTTACCTAGATCTCATTTTTGACTCTTTATAAAAATGAAAACCTATCATGCTATGAAAAAAAGAAATGAAAATTTTGATTCAGTTTCCAACAGCATATTTCTGTGTAAAGACATTTTCTTCTGTCAAAGCAATTAAAACTCGGTACTGGCCTCGTCTTGAAACACAACTCTCCAACTTGCAGTGACGTCATTGGAGCCAAAAATCCACAAACAAATATCCCACTAAAAATGTGTAATAAATGAATAAATTTCAAATTTTCAATTTGTTTTAATTAAATTACATTAATAAATTACATTATAACTTTGTTCCTTTAATGGGTGCATTTCATATTAATAAAATAAAAGTTTTCCTATTATTATTATTATTATTATTATTATCATTATCATCATCATCATCATTATTATTATTATTTTCTTTGATTTCTGGCGTTTACACATTTCTTTCCGGGTCCCGCCCAGGGACCTAAGGTTAGAAATGGCATCATGACACTTTCCACTGACACAAAAAAAAAATTACATAGATAAAGCCTTTCGTAAAGTGTGGGTTGTTCATTATTATTATTATATAAATTTAATAGGAGTAGATAGGCTTTCCTACCAACCGGTCAACACTCCTCCCCCTTCTCTTGGACATGAGTAGAGGATCACGCCTTGTTTCTTGTTTAGGAAGGGGTTCCCGGTACTCACTCTCCCTCTCTCTCTCTCTCTCTCTCTCTCTCACTCACTGGCCTCTGTATCTCCAGTTGCCTTGATCTATTCACTATCCTTCTCCTCATCCTATCTTCTATCACTTCTATCTGATCTTGCTCCAAATTTTCTGTAACCCCTTGCGTCCTAGTGGCTTCCCGCCTTGCTTGGGGCGAAACACTTAAAAAAAATGTATTTACCTTTTCTTTCTAAATTAATATTAGTAGTTGGCCAAATATTAAATTATACATTTAATGGTCTATGAAGTTCAAATGTTTGGCGATCACTAATCTAAGCAGAAGCACGTAACCTGATCTTGTAACCTAAGTATACTGTGATTATAAAGTGAGCCACGCAAACTATGACCCACAGCAAATCAAGTCATTAGTATTATGCACTAGCTTCTATCTCCACTTACTGTCTCACACCTGTAATTTTATACTAGTTCAGCTAAATAAATACCCACAACTATTGCGTTTATTTTTAATCAATTTTCGGAAAAATACCGTTAACTCATCTCGAAAAACATTAGAAATGTGTATGTAGTTGTAGTTGATGAATTGATCTTTGATGCTCCCAATATGTACTGGGTTCACACTCTAAGAGTTTATAAAGTAAGAACATCAGAAGTTGACCTGGAAGGTACCTCCTAGCCACCAGGTATACAATCGGATCTCAAACGATGTTAGTGGTTGCTCCAACACATAAACAAGGTCGACCCAGCTGAGCCTAAGATGCGCACATGAGAGACAACCGGATGATAGGAAGTTATAGGAGTGTGCCACCCAAGAGGAAAACCGAACTCACATACGTCCACGCTAGAATGTCAACGTTTTAAAAAAAGAAATACATTTAGTGGTCAATGAAGTTCAAAAGGTTGACGACCGCTGGTCTAAACTATCTAGACAGAGCAACAACAAAAAAAAAAACACTTCACAACGTCAACATTCAACGAAGAACAGCTCAAGTCGCTACTCAAGTTTCATCTTCTCGCGATGTTCAGGCGAAAAAAGCTGATAAATATATGGGATCAACATGGGCAGCAATTTTTTATTTATTGAATCTGGGTTAAATATAAACAAATATTAAGTTTCCTTTTGTATATTTCAGATTATCTTTTTTTTTATTTCCGGTAAAAGCTTAAAATATATATAAGGACTCAAATTACTGGGAGTATTAAGCCTAAAAAAACAAACAACTCAACATCAATGAATGGTTATCAGATTTAAAGAAAAACATACGAAATATGATTGATAAACAGAAAGACACGACATGAAGACGCCATATTTTGACTGACTGAAATCTCATTTTGAGAACAATGGGGAAAAAATCGAAAGTAACGAAAAGCCTGCAGAAAACGTGGCCGAATAACGATAAAAAATGTCGAGGTGTTATTGATAATTCATTTTTTAATTACTATATATACTCGCGTATCATGTGACTTTTGAAGACTTCATTCTGAAGCTAATTTTAATGAGGTCGTATCATACACGAGATATAAAATTAACGTATGTACTGTTGGCCCTGGCTACACCGTTAACCAAACTATATATCCATTTACTGTACTCAAAAAAGCCTACCTGCATTTAAAATAAACGCGATTTTGATAAAACTGATGTTTTACTTAACTGTATCCAATAATAATGCATGCAATATTCACATATTAGTATCGTATTATAAAATACAATCATAGCGAATATGCATCTTTTCAATTGTATACGCTTATAAGATGTTTAGCTGTTTCCCGTTCGGTTATTTATGGCTGTACGCGTTTAAACAACGGGTATAGATTTACTAACGATACTTTTATCATTCTCTTTTACTTTTTTAACATATTTAATTAGAAGATGGGACAAAGAGATAGAGGAAAAGAGGTTAGTCTATTATAATTTGGTCTCTCAAAAAAAAGGAAATCACATGATACAACATATACATGATGAAATAATTTATTATGAGTGAAAATTTGAGGCGCGCACGATACGCCAGATCGCACGTTACACGAGTATATACCGTATATAATAGTTACTATGTGATTTTTAAGACACTAATGGATTATATCACCCACTACTCTAAACGTTATTTTCTTGGTGCCCTAAGATGGAACACATTTCCTTAATTAAGCAAACCGGTAGACGTAATTCGTAGTGTTTAAAAAAGCAACAGGGCGTCTATTCAAATATGGGTATCCACAAAATAACGTTTGGTTCAGTAAGAAATACTTACTATACCTTCATTAGTACAGTGGAATGTTTGAATGCCTCTGTCAAGGAATCCTTCGTTTTCGACAGATACGCGAGTGATGTAATGGATAAAGGCTCGAACTGAGAAGTCAGTGAGCTAAGTTTGAATTCCAAGCGAGTTTGTTACATTCACTTACTTGGATCCACCACCTACCCCCATCTATGGGTTAAATAGTATACTTTGTTATCATCATTGTTATATCTAAGTAAGTTTTAATGCAATATTCACTTGCAAAAACGCTTACGGCCACATCACGTTGAAACACAGGTTCCTGTATGATCACTGAAGTTAAGCAACGTCGAGCTTGGTCAGTACTTAGATGAGTGACCGCTTGTAAGTTTGGATGTGCGTGTGGTGTAATAGCTAATGACACGGAATTGGTAATGGGAGGGCCGAGTTCCAATTCTAGTTGGGTTCACTTACGCACAAATACCCTTGGGGAAAGTATGAATTTACCTTACCCCTAAGCTACGGGTTAATTAGTAAGACTTGTATCACTTAACCATTATTATCTCAAAAAAAATTTCTTACAATCTAAAAATATCTTCCCGCTTGAAATAACCAGCAATGGGGCGATAAGCCGTAAAAAAAGAAATCAATCAACTTTTGTTTTAGTTATAATACTTGTATAAGCACGTGGTAGGAATGTATCCAAAGATTACAGTAAACATCGCTCATTGATTGGAATGTTAAAAAACAATTGAAGAGGGGGGTCACTTTTTTGTTAATTATTTCACGCCAACTAAGGAAATAAAGACACTAAGGCGTTATTGACTGTGAAAGAATATGAGATAAAGAAAACATTATTAATGAGAGAGAACAATACAAGAAGAGGAATTATGAAGACAGAAGATAACAATTGACATTGCATTTAAATTTTGGAAGATCAAAGTTGACTGGATAGCAAGAAACAGGAAGAGTGTTCCACAATCGAGAAATGCAGAGAAAAGAAACTGTCAGCATAAAAATCACTGCTACACATAGCCATTGCCACGGTAAAAGGATGGGACCTAGCTACCAATCTAGTACTGCGCTTAAATTCATAAAGTCGAGTTAACAGAGAGGAAAACAATAAACAAGAAAATATTTATAGAAAAGGAACAAGGAAGCTACTTTACGACGGTGTGAAAGTGAGTGAAACCGAGATACCTGGTAAGGACCGATAACATTGCAGATTCTTCTTTAGATTTTGTTGAGGATCAGATAAGAATCTGTAGCAGAAGCGCCAGGCCAGAAGTGAGTGCGTGAGCATAATTAAACTAAAATAAAATTTATTTTTGCATATTTGAATTTGTCAGCCTAACAATTTCATTTCTAATATCGACCTTTTAATTTGTTTTTTCAAAACGAAACTTTTTATTTTTAATTATCCCTTGAAAACCAAAAAGAATGCTCAATGACTAGGACTTTTCGAATTAAACGGGGTATTTTGAAAACGCCTTAGTACTTAAACTGAAAAAAAATACCACACAGTATTAACGGGGAGTCAAAATTTAAATTTTCGTTATGCTAAAGATGGTGGGAAAATGACCGGCTCATTCTATCGTTACAGGAAATGTCCAACTCTTTCAGCTATGCTTTATCTCTACAAGAGGCATATTAGATCAAACATGGTGTTGTGCTTGCCTATCTGGGTGAGGACTGCTCAGGTTTTACTTAAAAGCTTTTAAAAAAGTTCAAAAATTGTTTACACGGTCTTGTGGTATGTGGATAAAAATTCAGGTAAGCTAAATTCCTTAGTTCCACTAGTTTAGACCCTTTATAGCTAGGGAATGTCATGATACTTCCATGGTGTCGAATCACCCACATTTCCCCCTTTTTTTAAAGACTTAAATGAGTTCAAAATCATTTCGGCGATCTTATAGAGAAGGAAGTATGTTTGCTCTTCAGTCTTTTTCCCACTGCCTCAATACCGCAAGCCGATCGCTGCTATATCGCTATTTCCAAGGCAAATGTTCATATTAGCTCCATTCTTTAACTCTGCCAGTTAAGACCTTTGACAAATGGAACACGCCATGATACTTACACGGAGTCGAATCACCCACATTTCCCCCGTGTTCCATATCTGGGCTAGTGTTGCTCAATCTCCACTTTAAGTCCTTCTTAGAGTTCGAAATCACTGACTCGATCTTGCGGGGGATGTCTTATTTTCGACGCCTTCTCACTAACGCAACATCCAAACCTTTTGCCACTTTATCGCTATTTCCATGGTGAATGTTCAGATGAAGCCCATTATTTAGTTCTACGAGTTCAGGTCTTTTACAGCTAGGACATGCTACGTCCATCGAGTTGAATCACTCACATTTCCTCCGTATCCTATAACTATATTTCCAGCCTTGATAGAATTCAAAAATCACTTACGTTTGGAGGAAGAATCATTCTCCAATCTGCATCAATCGATCCACTCTTTTCCAATATGACACGCCAACCTACTGCCACGGAGCCGAATCACCTACATATCTTATCTGGGTTAGTGTTGGTTAATCTCCACTTTAAAGCTTTGATACAGTTCTAAATCACTGACTCGGTCTTGTGGGGGTGTCTTATTTTCCAGGTTTTCCCACTGGCGCAGCATCCAAGCCTGCTGCCACTTTATCTCTATTTCCATGGCAAATGTTCAGATGAGCTCTAATCTTTTGTCCTACCAGTTCAGACCTTTACAGCTAGAACACGTCATGCTATGTTTTCCATATCTGGGCTAGTGTTGCTCAATCTTCACTTTAAAGCCATGACAGAGTTCAAAATCATTTTTTGTTTGTTTTGGTTTTTTAGCTCCTTATGAATCATTTAATGACGAAATTTTATTTTCTTGTGAGCTTTGTTAATTCTTTTTCTTTTTCCCAAAATATATTGCTGGTAATGTTTTTTACTCTGAAAAAGTATAACTGAATTTTTTTTTTATAATGTATTTTTATGTTTTCATGTTTTAACTCCAGTTTGGGTATTCACTCTTTGCCCACAGCTAGGACCCTAACAGGTGCTACCACCATGGGCCTGGGTGGGCACGGGAACAATAGCAATTAGCGGTGGTTCCATGCTCCTCAAAAACTCCCGATCAGAGGCCTTGCTATCGAATGTAGTTTATTATCATACCCAGAATGATCAAAATCATTTCATTCGTCTTTTTTTGGGGGGGAGGGGAGCTTATTTTTGTTGACCACGTTTGCTGTAGTCTCTGAATATGGAATCCAGTGAAGTCCGTAATGTGTTCAATATCAGAGGTTGGCAGTGAAGATTCAGAGAAAGCATCAGGTAAGTAATTCTTTAAGTCTTCGACATCAGAGGTTGGCAGTCGAGATATTTTGGGAGAAAAAACAAAATGGCTGCCTTTATACACGTCGGATTGAATATTTTGAGTTTTGTGATTGGTTAACCCTTCTATTGGTGGACTATAAAATGTGCCAGCTCATTTTGGCTAGCTCACTAGTACTTACAGGGTACCCAAAAATTCCAATAATTTTCCACTCTGCATCCTCTTTTTGACAGACACAGCATCATAAGCCTATCGCTATTGCTATCCAAACTGTTCAGATCAGCCCCATTTTTAGTTCTACCAGTTCATGCCTTTACAGCTTGGATACGCCATGCTACTTCCACGGAGTTGAATCACCCTCATCTCCCACGCGTTCCAAATTTAAGGATAACGTTCAACGTTTCAAAGACCTTTTTTTCCATAGAACGGCTACGTTATGGAACAGACTTCCGCCTGAATGCTCCCTAAAAACTACAGTCCTTCAACTCAACGTTCAATCGTTATCTATCCTCCTTATCATCATCCTATCCTTTTCTTTTCCATCCTTATCCCGCACCTCGTTCATTATAACCGGTTTAACAGTAACTCTTTATCTTGAACGACTTTCGAGCTCCATAGTAATGTTTAAAAAAACAAAAAGGGAATTTATAGGCATGCTCTATATATACATATATGTTTGTGCGTGTGTGTATATATGCCCTGTTTTTTGTTTTTTGTTTTTTAAATTGTAAATATCTACGACGTAAACAAATAAGTCTCCGTCACTCAGCTGTCAGACTTTTTATGGGAGAAAGTTAAGCATAATCTTTTCTTGTACTGCCTTGAAATGAAATTCGTGGATTTTTATCTTAAAATCTAAAGTCACAACGAACGCGCAAACAACGAAAAAGAAATAAATTAACAAACTGGTAACGAGTCAACATCTCACGTGCAATCTGCATATCATCAGCTCAACGTTCCCAAACAGGCATCGCCTACTGAGTTCCTTAAATCGTCTGATGAAGTAATTTCGCATGCAGCCTGCCTCTAAAATTGGTAAGATTTGGTAATCTGGAAAAACACATACTGTTTCGAGATAATGTTAACGACAGTTTTTTTTTTCTGTTGAAAAAAAATGACAGCGCAGTCATAATACAAAAATAGTGGGCTTACTGTTAATGGTTAAATTAGGCAGTTATTATTCTGTAGATAACAATACAAGGAAGAGGGGGTTTCAGCTGTCAAGAGAATTAATAAACAATGCCGGGACAATCAGTTTGCTGTCTCTTCTGAAAATGTTCCCCAGAAGAAAACTCTTAATGGATTAATGTTAACGTCCTGAACAAATAATCTTGATGTAAATTATTTCTCATGCTGCCTACCTCTAAAAATGGTGAAATGTTCTCTTCCGGCAAAAAAAAAACACATTGCTTCGAGACTATATTAATCTCAGCTGTTTCCAATTATGAAAAAGTAAACGATGTTATAAACCAAAACAGTGGGCTTGATGGTGTTGACTACATTATAGGCCACCATTGGGATGTAAGTAACAATACAACGAAAGTGATTTTAAACGCCAAGAAAATTAATAAACACTGACAGGACAACTAGAGTCTGCTGTCTCTTCTAAAAGCGTTCCTCATAAGAAAACTTTCTAAAAAAAATAAATGATAATTTCATGAACCAAACATTTTGATATAATTAGCGGGGAGCAGCACAAAAGATGTAAAATGAAATGAAAAAAAAAAAAAAAAAGAAAAAAAGGTCTTTGTCAGAGAGAGACGTGATTTTCAGACAGACACAAATTGATTGGCACAATCATATTTTCCTTGCTGTCTCGATGAATTATTCACTAAAAAAGTAAGCATTACTTTGCTTTCCTAAATTGTAAGGAGTACCATGATCAATAATTACGAAGTTGGGCTAAAAAGTTCATAGGCTATGAAGGAGTGACGCTAGAGCTGTGACATTTTGCATGCATTAATTTGAACACTTCTGATTAATAACTGCATTGTTTATTTCCACGTACGAGGTTAGGATGAAAACTTCATAGTCTGACTATGAAGGAGTGATGCTGGACCTGTCACATCTTGCATGCATTAATTT